AACAACTGGGCAACGTACAAATTAAGAAAGTCCCATAACAAAGAGAAAACAATAAAATAATTGAAAATAATAAAAACAAAGGTTGGTACATGCAGAAGAAAAAGCAAGAAAGAATGAAGAAAGTGAGATTAATTAATTATTTTGCCGATTTGGTCCTCCGGGTTATTTCAAACAATTTTGAAAGGACGATAGAAAGAGTAAAGTTGTGAAATTCGCAGATAGATAGATAAGGTGAGAGAGGGGGGAGAGGGCGACAGAGGGAGAGTAATTTTGTTGATTTGGTCCTCCGGGTTGGATTTCATACAACAATTATCAATAGAAAATAGGAAGAGTAAAAGTAAGACAAATATACAGATTGATAAAGATAAATAGATAGAGAGATAGTGAGTGAGAGAGAAAGAGAGAGAGAGAGGGGGGATGGAGAGAGAGAGAGAGAGAGAGAGAGAGAGAGAGAGAGAGTGTGTGTGTAATTTTGTTGATTTGGTCTTCCCGGCCGGTTTTGTTACAACAATTATCAAAAGGAAATAGAAAGAGTAAAAGTACGTCCAATGGACAGATTGATAAAGAGAGATAGATAGACATAGGGAAGATTATTTATGAAAGATGTATGCTAAGGTAGGATAAACGACTGTGCAACATACAAATAATTTAAGACAATAAATAATTTTATAATTTATTTATAAATAATTTCAATTAATTATTCTTTTCATGTAAGGTCTTGGTTGAGATGAAAAAGTCAGTATCACGAGCGGAATTCGAACTCACGATCTTCGGCTGGTGGGGGTTCGAATCCTGCTCGTAACACTAACTTTTTCATCTCAACCAAGAACTTGCAAACAAGAATAGTTAATTGAATTAGATTTTTCCTCGCAAGCACCTTGTTTAGTTTGTTATTTGATCATTATTATGTGTATTATATACATATTATGTATTATTTATTATTATCATCATCATTATTGTTATTTGATCAATTTCTAGTGCTATTTGGTCTTTAACTATCTATATGCATTATCCAATATATAAATAAATATATAAAATATGGCGAAATTTTTAATATAATTGAAGTATAAACTAATTGCAAATAATAAAAACAGCAAAGAAAGATACGAGGTAGATAAATAAATATAAATGTACAAAAAGAGAGAGAGAGAGAGAGAGAGAGAGAGAGAGAGAGAGAGAGAGAGAGAGAGAGAAAGAGAGAGAGAGAGAGGGAGAGAGAGCGCGCGAGAGATAACAAGGTTTAATAAGGTTTTATGCGAAACTAAATTCCACTTCTCTTAGTAATAAATATTTTATATAAATATAAAAAAAGGTTTTTGGAAAAGTGTCAAAAGTCAAAACACTTCCAATATCTAAAATGCCTATTGTCAACCAAGGTCTTTTTTTATATTTTGAAATGCGTCAGTTTAGAAGGCCAGATATATTAATTATTCTTACATTTTCTTTGGCTTCAAATATAGTGGGCATTTTCAAGGACCAGACTGGGTATGTTTGCCCGCACCTGAATTTTAAGCACTTTCAAAATTGACTTTAAGTTATTTTTTAAACTAAAAGTTAACTTTTAAAAAAGTTATTTTTTTAGCTTTCACAATTTGCTGAATTTTCAATAGAATTTTTTTTCACTCGTACAGATATTTGCCTTTCCCAGCCAAACATGTTTGATAGTTACAATAGGCAGTCCGTTCGATTAGACTGTTTGATTGTTGATAAGGCTGCAATCGTTTCGGCCCGTCTACTCCCGCTCGTTGGCATTGGCCCTGGTTTACCTTTAAAAAGAAGGACCTGGAGGTGATGACACAGTAATCTCTGCTCTAGTTGATTATTTTGCCGAGTTGGTCCTCCGGGGCGGATTTCAGGCGAATCATCGAAGATCATAGAAAGAGTAAAAGTAAGATAAATAGACAGACTGATAGAGAGAGATAGAAAAAGATTGAGCGCTAGAAAAAAAAGAAGATAAGAAAAAACTAAAAAATGAGAGAAATGGAGAGTCAGATAGAAGACAGCTGTTGTATAGTTAGATAGATACAAAGAAGTTAAGCTTATAGGAAGGTAGTAAAATTCAAACCAAGTAAATGAAAATTGTAAAAAATAATTAGAAAGAATACAATTAAAACAGATTGGAGATGGGTTAAAATGTAGGAAAGAGAAAGAGAGAGAGAGAGAAAGAGAGAGAGAGAGAGAGAGAAAGAGAGAGAGAGTGAAAGAGAGGAGAGGAGAGGGGAGAGAGATTGCGGGTAATAGTTATTTTGCCGATTTGGTCCTCCGGGTCGGATTTCAGTCAAAATTATCAAAGAGAAAGATTAAAAGTAATAGAATTATATAAAGAAAGCTGGACAAGGGACAGACATAGATTCAGAACAATTTCAGTGTCTGACATAATTTTCTCACGCACACGATCCATCATAGCGAGTAAGTATTAAGAGTCTAGTGTAACATTGACTCTGGCAAAAAAACAACAACAATGAAATCTGCGAGATTAGAGGATCCAGCTGTACACAATAGCGTCGAGCCTTGTCGTTTTCATTTGATTCTAGTTCATTTAAAATAGACTATCCTTCGTTGCCAGTCTCGTAAGTTCAGTTCGTCCTTTTACCCAAAACATTCATTCCCCCATATAACACTTGAGGGGGGTGGAAAAGAGGCCATGATTCACGACTTTTTTGGGTGACATAATTGGGAGGATCGTTTGAGCCGTAAGGCCGACGAAAAAGGTTTGCGTAACTTACAGCTCGTCGACGGAGCGGTTTTGCTTTCACCAAGGCTCGGGAGAAAGTCGGCGACTTTCCCCTCGACTCGGCCCGTTAGGATATCTGCTGAAGCAACATCTTCCTATTCAGACGAGAGCTATCTAACCGGACCATCGGTCCCAAAACGGCTTTTCTCCGTCCAAGAGCCATTGTACGATTTGGGAAAATTGCCGCATTGTCTGCCTACAAGGGGCATTTTTATTATTACTTCTCGCTTTTGATTTGTTGTCACTTTTATCTCGTTCTGACGAAAACGAAAGCGAAAACGGCTGCGAGATAATTTTCCGAACGATGTTTCTTTTTACGATATTTCATAACTTTCTTATCTTGACAATTGACTATTAATATCTTCTATCTTTTCTTCACACATTCTTCCTACAACAAATAAGCTTTCAAAGCATTTATTTTACTATGTATTTACGTTTTTAAGTAAACCCTGCTGAAAAAATCAGCCGAGGTCACAATTCTTCTTCAAAATTCTGCCATTAGAGATATTTATTTTGATATATAAATATAAATAAAACATATGATTGAGAATCGTAAGTAGATGCCAAATCGAGTGAGAACAGACGGAGGGCTCAGTACCATAGTCAGTCAATTATGTTAAACTGAACGTTAAAACAGTAGTTTACATTTTAAAAAAATCTGTCACTTGATAAAGCAGCATGGTTTCCCACAGAGCAACTGGATTTTTCATTAAACGGATATAGTCCGATGGGGCGAGGCCCGGTTAATTTTACCAATTCAAGCTATTGAAAATAATGAAAAAAATAGTTTTATTACCAAAAGGTTTTCTTGTATTAACAGGGTGTTTTATGTGGTGTAATACATACACCAGAGTAATTCAACAGTGTATCGCTGCGTTAATACGTGTCTACCAACTTTAATTCTACCTAGAGAGAAACGCCTTCAAGTTGGATTCCGCTCCGAAGTAGTGAAAGTTACACCAGTTTTCCCTTTTGAAGAAACATTATTGACCAAGTTCGGTAGCAGGAAGAAGCAGCAATGTTTAGGCACATAGGTTATTAATTTTTCACTAAACGGATGTAGTCCGATGGAGCGAGGCCCGGTTAGATTTTACCAATTGAAGTAATTGAAAACTGAAACATTATTATTTTATTAAGAAGGGTGTTTGATGTATGCATTACATTCACCAAAGCAGTGTATCGTTGCGTTAAAACGAGTTCAGACAAGTCTGTATTGAAAGAATGGCCTTCACGTTGGGCGAATTCCGCTTCGAAGGAGTGAAAGTAATACCAGTTTTTTCTCTTTTGAACAAAACTTTTGTGTCTAATTACGGCAACAAAAAGTTGAATTTGTTTATTTAAATTTTATAGTCTGAGGGAGAGCAAGGGTTTTTACCTATTATTTTGTGCTTTGATAGTATATTTTGCCCCAAGTTTGTAATGATGAAATAAGGTAACTGTCAAGTATTTAGTGTAATTTCCAAGTTTGAACATTCTTCGAGACTCCACGTTTCCCGGCGTATTCCTTTTGAGACGCGCTACGCCCAATTTTCCCATCGTTATCCACGTCTGTCATTACCGGGAACGATATCCACTCTGAAAGGGCCCCAGGAACGACGGTGAAAGGGGCCCAATGCCCGCCGGGGGGAGGTCCCGAGGGTTCTCATGGATGAAAGAGAAAACAGAACAATGCTCGCGCGGATTTTGATGAGAAAGTGTCACGCTTCCATTCTGCCCGTTAACCGTGTCAGAAGAAAGGAAAGGCACATAACTGGCGGTTACCTGCCGTGGATACATTCGCCTCTAGGAATTATCGCAATAAAGATACGCGCATTTGTTCAATAAAGAAACACGTTTTCTCACCGCGGTGAACCGCACCACAATAGAAGAGACAAACAAAACATAAAAATACTCAACACACAATACAACTGTACTACAGATTTGACATTGAATAAAGGGTACTCACTTTGAAATGATCGACACTGATCACTTTTCTGTTCCGCTCTCTTGCAGACAACACATCAACTTAAAAAGAAAAACAGAACAGACCTAAACCATGTTTTAATGAAAGAAAATCACCGTACTTTTGTAATTCTTATTCACCAAAGCAGGTTATCGCTGCGTTCTTGTTGGTTAGCTGATAATTGTTTAAAATAATTCCAATATATTAGATGAAATGAAGTAAAGAATACTTAATAAAAGTATATAATTGTAATAAGTTATACTAGACTGAAAGGATGGTGAAGAATTTAAATAAAAACACACTTTTTTTCAATTTGTTTATTTTTCGTGAGATCAAACGTGACCTGGGAGTACACAGAACATCACTGCATACCCCATTAATTAATAATAATTAAATATAATATATTATTAATATATAATAATTATTATTATTCAGACTTAGTTAAGGCATGTTCGGTAATAATCTCATCTCAATGTTGCGCAGATCGCTTTTCATTTTTTTAATTAAGGCAAGACGGCAGTTTATCGCTGCGGTAAGCCTCGTCGAAACGCTACACGACCTAGTACAAATTCTCATTTTAGAAAATTAGAAATCTTGGTAAATATCCAATGGTCAACTATGCATTTCGTGACATTTGTCTATTTGTACATGGAAGTATTTATGTCTGCGCTGTAATGAGATAATTAGACAAAGTTTGTTCTACTTTTCTTTATATACTTAATGAGAGCCACCTTTTGTTCTCCAACGTTTTGGCTTAGGACCAAAGAAGTAGGAGGAGGGAATATATTCGGTTTAACGCCCTCCCGCGACTTTATTTCTTTGAAGAGCTTTGCCAATTTCGTGTTGTTGAACTCGGGTTTCCGGGTCCCGAAAAACGTTTTAAAAATAATCAGTCATCTTTTATAAATTACGAACGATTTCGGCTCGGCTAGATGTTCAGCACACTAACGAGAACGACGTTCTCTCCGCGCACGAAGAGCTTGAAGACGCGTCTTTCGCACTGCTCAGTCTTCTTGTCGATCTTGGTTACAGCCAGGGTCGGCGGCTGCATCCTGTATAACTGGCCCTTCGGTATGTCCTGGCTCGCTCCAACTGTAACATACAAAAAAAATTAATTAAGCCATATGACCTTCACTTGCGATGGCATCGAACCTCCTGGTCTGCCTATATTATTCGTTGTGTTGGCCTGACACGCGTCACACAGTCGGATATACTTAAGATGGCGAAGATATACCAAACACAGCGAGGATAAGTAGACCAGGATGATAGGGCAAAAATGAAAAAATTATGATCCGGCAGACTCCACATAGAAATCTCAGTTTTGTTTAGTTTGGTCGTTTCAGGTCATTTTCTTCCGCCATCTTCATATTTTTGGTTAGACCGCACAAGTTGGCTAGAAACCGAGAAGAGCAGACCAAAATGATTGAAAACTACCAAACTACCAGTTCACCATCCCGCGGACATGAGGAAAACTCAGGATGTTTTATTTTTCTTGAAGAAACCTATAACGATAATCTTCAAAATACTTTATTTATATCGATTAATAAACACTTTTGTTAGAAGTGATAAGCTTCTTAATATTAGCCTTAAAATCAACCCAAGCAGTGTATCGCTGCATTACGTTATCATCCCTGAAAAAATCCCCGAAATAAATAAAGAGATGAACTTCAAAACTATTTAATTCAATCACTTTGACAACTTTCAATCTTCGTATCAGCCAAAGCAGTGCATCGCTGCGTTAAGTTTTCCTCCCTGAAAAAATCCAAGAGGGAATAGGCTTGATATTTAAAACAATTTAATTCAATCTCTTTTTCAAGTATTGCATCTTCGTGTTAGTCAAAACAGGGCATAGATGCGTTACGTTACTAACCTAGACCAAAAGCCCTTGAAGGAAATGTTGACGATCAAATTCATCAAAATTAATTAAAACTATCACTTTTAAAATATTGAATCTTAATATCACGCAATCACTTCAAAAAAAGGCGCTGGGGATATGATGATCATTGCCTTTAAAATGATTATTTAATCGTTTTTAAATATTGATTTTGATGAGATAATAAGCAGGGTATCGCTGCGTAACGTGTTTATTCCTGTATAAATTGAAGGCCCTTAAAACAAATATTGTCTAAAAAAATTATACAATCACTTTTAGACCTTGGTCTTTATAGCTGAACCTCCATTGCAACAAACTTGACAAATACATTCTTATTTTATCATGTGTAAAGAATTTAAAAGCTGTCTTGCCTCTAGATGACCAAAAGTGAGATTCTCAGGTTTGTTACAAATATTTCGAAGAAACTTTCGAAATCGGTATTTTTAACTTATCGGGTTTTATGAGGTCGGAAATAACGATTCAATCCAGTGAAGCTGGTACTTTCATGCCTTTCATGAACGTCTAAATCTGTAGTCAATGGTAGCCTTGCACAAGTAGGAAGATTTACACCTTTATCAAAATTTTATAAATGGTTTGGTTGGTCGGTCAGGAGTCGCAATTTATCATATAAAACGAATTTCTTGTTTTAGTTGAAAGTTTAATTTTTTAGACTGAAAATCCCACCGGTTTTTACGGTCAAAGCTAGAAATTCGTCGACGCAGATCCTCATAATTCGATCCAGTCGGATCGTATAGCGTCTACGCCGAGGAGTTCTCGAATGTCCAACAGGTCCTGGGAAAGGATGGGATCCCAGCCGGGAGTCGGGCGATTTCCGCCAATTCGCCCGATGACGAAGTCGCACAGAAAGGACGGGTCCTTGGTACAGGTACCGCCTCGCCATTTGACAGCAAGGCCTCTCTGGATCGCAAAGGTCAACCCCTACTCACGTATTATCTACCGGGTGATTCTATTCATCCTCTATAGGCGAGAAGACAAAGGGATTTTTCAAATGAAAATTGTAGGTCATGTGGTTTCAGGCCATCGTGAGCATGACAAATAGAAAATATATCGTCTAAAACAAAATAAATAAAAAAAGATAGGTAAGTAAAAAAGAAAGGAATGACAAAAGTGTGCGAGAGGGACAAAGATAAAGAGAAATATGATAAGAAATTGAGAAAACTGTTCGTAAGGGAAAGGTTGATACAGAAAGAGAAAAGAGTGAGGGAGCGAGATAAAAGTGGTATAAGAAAAAGTGTAACGCAATTCTAAATATACATATTTTTTATTGATCAGACAATAATGAAAGCTAATATCGGCTCATATTGAGGATATTAGTCCTAAGAAAAAAGCGACAGAGCGTTAATACGAAAATTAATATCCGGCCTGGAGGACCAATTCTCCAGACCTAGTCTATTCTATTCTTCTGTCTGAGTGTTTTTAGACTAGCCTATCTCCTTTTTGATAGGCTGCTCAATAATTATTGTTAGTTTATTTAAGTTATCAGCCAACAAACCCAAGAACATATATATCCCCCCCCACCAAATTAACCCTTTTATTACTACAAATTAAGCTTTTTGATTCCAAATTACCCATTTCTTAAAAAAATTAAAAATTAAAATTATTAATTAAAAATCAATAATAATTAATCATTAAAATTATTAATTAAAAATTAATTAATTAAATTACCAATTTTCATTACAATTAAAAATTAAATTAAATAAAAATAAGGATTCTTCTTTTAATTTGTAATAAGAGAGAAATAGGGGTTTTTAAGAGCCCAATTGTTTTTTATTTTAAAAATTATCCAATTGACAAAAGATAATGTTTTTATTTAATTTTTCAATTAATTTTCATAGGGTCTTCTAAGAGCCAACTATTTTATATTTAATTTTTATATAAATGCATGGGTTTTACTTTACAAGCTTACATTTCATACCATCTTTATGTTATAAAAGAAAGGGATAATTTGAAATTAAAAAGAATTAATTCGAAGAATAAAAAAAATATATTACCAATTAAAAAGGGTAAATTTGAAGTTGAAAGGTTTAATTTGATGAAAAAAGCTATATAGGTACTTTTTCATATTTTCCTTTAATAGATAGAGAACCTGAAATATATATTCATATTTTCCTATAATAGATAGAGAATGTGTCGTGCAATCTCGCAAAAAAATATTACCAATTAAAAAGGGTTCATTTGAAGTTAAACGGTTTAATTTGAAATTAAAAAGGATTAATTTGATGAAAAAAGCTATATAGATATTTTTTCATATTTTCCTGAAATAGATAGAGAAAACCTGAAGGTTGATTTGTTAAAATGTGTCGTGCAATCTCGTTTTCTTAATATTTTAAAGAAAGGGTTAATTAAAAATGTAAAAAACGGCTCATTTGAAATTAAAAAGGGTTAATTTGAAATTAAAAAGAGTTAATTCGAAGAATAAAAAAAATATTACCAATTAAAAAGGGTTCATTTGAAGTTGAAAAGTTTAATTTGGAATTAAAATGGATTAATTTGATGAAAAAACTATATATGTATTTTTTAATTTTTCCTGTTCATATTCATGTTACGCTTTCTATAATAGATAGTGAACCTGAAGGTTGATTTGTTAAAATGTGTCGTGCATCTCGTTTTTTAAATTTTAAAGAAAGGGTTAATTAAAAAAGTCTTATTTTAAATTAAAAAGCGTTAATTCGAAGTTAAAAATCAAACAGTTAATTTGAAATTAAAAAAGCATTAATTTGAAGGTGAAAAGTTTAATTTGAAATTAAAAATAATTAAGATTAATAAATAAGATTAATTTGATAAAAAAAGCTATATATTTTTTTTAAATAGTTTTCTACTTATATTCAGGTTACACCCACAAGTGTGTCATACAATCTCGTTTTATTAATGTTTTAAACAGAGGGTTAATTTGAAAAGAAAAAGGGCTCATTTGAAACTAAAAAGGGTTAATTCGAAATTAAAAAGGGTTAAAGTGTTGCGAAAAAGGCTTAATTTAAAGAAAAAGCTATATATGTATTTTTTTATAGGTTCCTATTTATATTCATGTTACGCCTTTCTATAATAGAGACCCTGAAGGTTGATTTGTTAGTGGTAATTTTATGGTTGTTGGTAATTTTAAATACACGTAATTTGGCCATATATATTTTAGTAATTATAAAGTTAAGAGTTTTATTGCTTATTTTTAACAGTTTTCTTTTTTTTCAGGTAAGGATCTTTATTCTTATTCATGATATGAGGAATTTTTCGCTTCTTAAGGTAAGGTAGAATTTCTCTCGTTTGTAAATAATTAACACCATGTGGGAAACAACGGTTGAACCTGGGTTTCTCAAATTTTTTTCAAAAAAACTCATTTCTTGGGCGTGTACTAGGATATTTGCCAGACGAAATATCTTCGGTGGAATTTTTTCGAACGCGTTTTTCTCCCAAGGTGATAACTCACATTCAGAAACAAGGTTAGATATTTAATTTCCAGGCCTTGACATATGGGTTAAAATCGCGCTGTAAGTTAACAATGAGGCTATCGTTGTAATTACCATCGGCCTGGACACGTTGCGAATTTAATTACATTCGGTGAAAGAGGTCCTGTCGGAATTTCGGCGTTTTTCGCGAACGGCAACCTCGCCGAGGTCTAATTGCACCACTTTCTCCGACCCACATTTTTTTTTACAGGCGTTCTGCCCATTCTCCTCACCCAGAATTGTGCAGAATCCGAATATACAGTATACCTTGAGGGCAGTTGAGATTTTGAAAAAATTTGGATTTGTTTTTTTAATACCTCGCATAAACGTCCCACATGAAAATGCAAGGTGCGAATTCACCTCGAGCCGAGGTTATGGGGGAAGGTTGGGGCCTTGGTGGTGAAGCAAGGTTAGAATGTCGTCACAAGGGCCCAACCTTAGCCAGAGAGGTCGCCCTTAGCCAACGCGGCCGTCACAACCTAGGTCGTCGAGGATCCAGGGATTATCCTTTGAGAGTTTGATCCCCTCTACCCAGAGTGATTCGGTGCATGACGATCCAAGATCCTGGAAAAGATTCATTTCCTGTTTTTGCACCGCCCTTGAATAACGCGTTTCCTTGTACGTAAGCGTACAATCGCACTGTTCGATCTCATAGCCAAATCGAAAAGTATTAACGAACGGAAAAAAATAACTTGATATCATGTAAAATACACATACCAAAGATGCAGTTAAAATTTAATCAAAAAAATTTATACCAA